CCCTCCTCCCTTCCAGTCCTGCGGTCAACGGATCCTGTCAAACTTGTAAAACTTCGAACTTTGCTATCGGTACCCGTATAAATGTAGTAGCAAGGAGGGGTACTTTCCTCTTTTGATGCCCTGGGTGTGGTAGATCATTACCGGGGGTAGGGGTCTGGGCAGAAGCGATCACGTAGGGGTCATAACTAGGTAATTCAGGGGGATATACAAGGTGGGGTGTGAAATTGGTAGTAGGTGGGGTAGCATGATAGATGGGGTACATGACTGAGGCAGTGTGGGGACGAGGGTACCCAATTTTGTACGAGCGAGCGAGGTATGGGCGGGAGGGAGGAGGGAGGAGGGAGGGAGGGAGGGAGGAAGGGGGAAGAAGAGGATCAGAACTTGAGGAAGACGCAAGATGAAGATAAGACTATGATATAGCAAGAGTGAAGTTGTAGTGAGCGCTGCTTGACATGCAAGATTTCAATTAGTCAAGGTTTCAACGGAAGGTTTGATCAGTACATGAGGATAGCAATGCTAAGGGAGAACTTGTCATGCATGAAGATGCCTCGACCTCTCAGTCTCTGAGTCATACTTACCGCACGAGAAATCATACGATACGTGCCACCTAGGAAGGTTTCGAGAAGGAAGATCCTGATTCCGATTGTTGGTGCAGGGGAGCGGGACGTTGGATGGGCTTCTGACGGGCATCATCATGGGAGACGAGGTGCTGGAGCTGTACTCCGACAACTTACACAAGATCTTCTCTCACTATGCTCGTGGTGACACCATGGATGCCTCTTGCTTCATGGAGTGCATGGCGGCCTGCAGCATCACGCCGGAGCCATTGGCCCTCGACGCTGTGTCAAGAATTTTCAAGTCGGGGGCACGAGGGTCCCATGCACTTGAGTTTCAAGATTTTCTCGAGTGCCTGGAGAGATGCTCACTGATGGGGTTCCTTCAAGACCCTGAGACTCAGGAAGAAGTGAGCTATGACGAGGCCATGGTGTTCCTGCTACGACGAATCGACAGGTCCAGGGTGTACAAGACGATAGATCCTAGTGGGAAGTTCCTCCTGCCCGAGCATGCGGTGGGACACGAGAGCGAAGGTTCTGACAGTGTTGAGGAAGAGAAGAAGGAGAAATCCTCCGATCAACAGCAGAATGATGAACTCTCTGCTGAAGAAACTGACCGCCTTCTGCGATCCCTGTTTCATTATTACTGCCTGGAGGGCAAGCAATCAAGCAAGCAGCAGATGGTAGCAGGGAAGTTCTACAAGTTTGTTCGTGAATGCAAGCTCATGGACTCCCGAGTGGATCAAGAAGCTGCAGGAAAGATTTACAAGCAGGTGATGAAGATCTCGTCTTCGGGGGTCAACTACATAGCATACAGCGACTTTGTGGAGGCTCTTGCGCTGCTGGCCAACTTGAAGTATGACAATGTCGGATCTCCCTTAGAAGTCTTCACGCGATTGGTCAACGATCACCTCAAGCACAACCTTCCTGAAGCTGTCAAGAAGCAAATGGAGCTGCCGATAGAAATCCAAGATGAGATCAAAGAAAGTCAGCAGAAAGCCGAGGAGGCTGAAGTAATGGTAAGAGCGAATGAGCAGCCTTCGATCAATAAGACTGGAGGAGGCGGCTTGAAATCATCAGCGAAACCCCCGCCGTCATCAACAACGGGCGGGAATGTGTCCGATGTTTTAGGGTTTGAAGTAGACTTGTCGGGGTCGGATTTCTCAGATGAAAGTCAAGAAGAAGACGCCGAAGCACATGTGAAGGTTTGTTTTCTTTCAGTCTCTGACCATTGCCTCTCTTGTGACTTTCATGGTCCAGCCTGACGCCAAAGAGGCGGATTCAGACGTCCATCAAGATTCCTCGTCCGAGAAGGAACAGGAAACGCAAGAAATGACTGAAGGCAACGAGAAAAGAATCCGAGAAGAAGAGGGAGACGTAACAGCGGGGAATCAACAAGAAGTGACAGCTGAAGGTCATCATCATCAGCACCACCACCACCACCACGAGCAGCAGCAGCAGCAGCAGCAGCAGCAGCAGCAGCATCAGTATCATCAAGTGACAAAACATGCACTTCTTGAAGAGGCCCAGGAGGGGGAGGAGGGTGGGGAGGAGAAAGTTGAGCAAGAGGAAGTTGAAAGGCGGCATGCTACTTCCGTTGAAGCTGCTTCAGAAGACGAGAAACCTGGCGGCCAGGGGACAGATGACATGCAACAAGATTTTATGCCAAGGGGGGAGGATGGACGTGTTGAGGGAACGTCGAGCAGGGTGAGCAAGCAGACTATCTGGGATGATTCAGAGGAGGAGGAGGAGGAGGAGGAGAAACATTCCCATGAGCGATACAAGGAGCATGAACCAAAGATTGACACTCATTCACAACCTCTTCATAGATTCGACTTGAGCAGCGATGATGAAGGTGATGTCAACAAGAAGCACGATGTTTGAGATATCTGACTTGTGATGTTGGATAGGATCTCCTTCAGCCAAGAAAGAACGATCACTTGTACGTCAGAGGGTTGCAGATTATGAATTTCACAAAGCACAACAACACCCACCTTCCAATGGAGTGCAGACTCCCAAACCGTCGCACCCAACCAAACATGAGGAGGATTGGGCCTTTGAAACGTCAACTCACAACCACCATGATAACAAGAATCTTCATTTCACCGAACAGATGGAGCGAAGTCAACGGCAGAGCGAGATGCGGAGATCGACCGATCACATGCCCCATGGGCGTGTGAAGAGCGAAGAGAAACAGAAGAAGGTGATTCGATGACATGCATCGACGAATGTGCGGTTTAATTTAACCTGCAGCCATTGTCAAAACAACAGCTATACAATGAAATCATGAAGAGGTTGGTTCGATCCCATCAATTCAATCTTGATGTTAACCTGATGTTTTCCTCGAACAACAGCATCGATCCCCAAAGGAGCGGAAGGAAAGTGAAGAAGAGACGAGAAGAGCCTGAGGTGCAAGTGCGGAGATCGATCGAAACTGTTCATCCACAGGTTTGACAGACTTTCCTGCTCACTCTGCCCTACTCCCTTCACTTCCCTCCTTCCCCTATCTCCGTCTGCTCACCTCGTCCTCGTCCCTTGACCTCTCAGTCTCTTCCTGGACTTCCTCCTCCTCCTCCTCCTCCTCCTCCTCCTCCTCCTCCTCCTCCTCCGCTCCTCCTCCGCTCCTCCTCCTCCTCCTCCTCCTCTGACGAGGGTCCAGTCGACGAGCCGGGCACCCGCCCCATCCCACCTAGATGCGAGTGGGAGCAGCTCCCGAGCGGCTCCGAGAGTCTCAGAAGCTCCTCGGACGGCGAGCGCGAAGAAGAGCTCGAGCTCCAAGAGCACGGCCTCGCAAGAGCAACCGACGTTCCAGGATGACCTACAGAAGATGTTGCACTCGAGCAATGGTGACTGCTGTGCTGTTGGACGAGTTGGACGTGCCTTCTGACTTGAACTCGCACGCCCAGCGCTGTTGAAATCTTTGCAAAGTGAGATTGACAACCTCAAGAGTGAGAACACGTCGTTGAGCTCAAAAGTGACGACGCTGAACGAGGTCGTGAGATTGTCTTTTTCCCCTTCTCTCCTCTCCTGTGAAATGAATGGGACGGCAGACTGTGAAGGAGAAGAGGATGAACGAGAAAAGATTGCAGGTGAACAACAAGCACAAATCTCCCTTTCCTCTCCTCTTCATTCTTCTGCTACTCCTTTAATCTGTGTGACCACAATCATAACTCGTTCTCTTCCCTCTCTTCTCGTTCTCTTCCCTCTCTCCTCTCCTCCACCTTCCCCTCTCCTCCTTCCTCTCCTCCTTCCCCTTCCTCTCTCTTCTTCCCTCTCTTCTTCCTCCTCACTTTCAATGTGCAGGAGCAACTCGATATCGTCTCCAAGTCTCTAGAGGAATCCAACAGGAGCAAGTTGGTCACTTCCCGCTACTCCCCCAACCAGTCGGCCGCTGCAAGGAGGACGCCGTCCCCTGGACTGAGAGGCTCCGCGTCTCCTACCATGGGGAAGGATACTAACCAGAGCAAGGGGTGAGCAAGAGGAGGAGAGAAAGGGGAGACAGAGGGAGGAAGGGAGGAGGAGGAGAGAAAGGGAGGGAGAAGGGAGGGGAAGAGACAAAGGCGGAGAGATGGTCACGATGAGAAGGAGGAAGAGGAGAGCAGGAACAGGAGCAGGAGCAGGAGCAGGAGCAGGAGTGGATGCTGCAAGGAGAGGTCGGACAGGTCACAGCCATGACAAGTGCCCGCAGGCGTTCTTCCTCCGCTGGTCGTCTCAACAATTCAGCCCGAGGTAGAGAGAGCGTGAGGTCGTCGGGGCTGACAACGTCGAGCAGATCAGCGATCAGTCTCTCCTGCTGCTCGCCAGCGCTACCGCGCTCCTTCCCCTCGTCCTCGTGCGGAGAACTTTGTTCCTCGCTACAAGGTGAGAAGTTTCAGACGCTCGTACTGCAGTCGAGTCGACGTCTTGATCAGCTGGTTGTCTGGGATGTTGATGACATGTTTGTGTCAGTGCGTGCGAGATTTGAAGATTTCTGTCGGCCTTTCAACGTTGTCGTTGAGTAATCAGGTGAGAGGAGGAGAGGAAAGAAGAGGAGAAAAGGTGTGGAGGGGGGGGGAGGAGAAGGGAAGCGGAGAGGAGAGGAGCGCAAGTTTCTTCTTTGACTTTGTTTTGCAGTACATCACAAGTCTAGAGGGTCTTGGTGTCCATCGAGGATTGAAGACGCTCTTTCTACAGGTGTGTCTGTTTGATGGAGACAACAGAGGGTGATCAGATGAAGATGATGAAACATGGTTGTGCTGCTGATGCTTATAATGACGATGATGAGGAGGAGGAAGAGGCAGATGGAGAGGAGGATGGAGAAGAGGACAATGAGGAGGAGGATTTTGATGCTGAGGTGGCTGACAACATCTACAGAACAACTTCTTGTCAAATCTCGATTATCTCTTCTCACAGGCAGACGTTTGACACGTTGACATGTTGGAGTTTGACATGTCAAACAGCCAAACCTCAAGGAACTTCACCTAGAGAACAACAAGTTGACGTCACTTCGAGGGCTGCAGCCGCAGGTGACCTGATCTTGCTTGCTGCGCTGCCCCTCCTGATCTCTTGACTTGACAGCCTGCCTTGGAGAAGATCTGGGTAGTAGGAAATCCTGTCTGCGAGAACAAGTTTATCAATGCAATGTGCTTGATGGCGATCGGTGAACATCTTCTTGATGTGCGACATGTTGTTGAACTCGTTTGTCTTGCCTTTGCAGGAAGTTCTCTCCTGCGAATAGATGATTCCGGCATCGTCCCGAAAATGCGCGAACTTGCTATGTGATACTCTTGTCCGCGCTTCCTCCTCCTCCCTACCGCCTCCTTCCCCCTCTTCCTCTGCCTTCTATCCCATTCTCTCATCCCTGTTGCTTCCCTTCCTTGTCCGCGTGCTCCTGCTCCCCCTTGTCAATCCTCGACCTCCTTCCCCCTTCGCTCCTTCGTGCTCTCGCTCATTGCGGTGGCAACTTGCTGGTATGACCATTGCTGTCTGCAGGATTCTTGGACCAAGGGCAGCAGAAGCTGTTAGAGAGGTTGTAGATGATGATGACGATGAGGGGAGGGGGGAGGGAGGGGAGGGGAGGGGAGGGAGGAGGGAGGGAGGG